ACTCTCAATAGGATTGGATCTCATTGGTGTTTGAGAGCATAGCCTATTATAAAGGTACATCCATGATGCTTTTAGTATAGAATTGATTACTTTATCAAGCAGGAAATTTATTCCCTCAGGTTGAGGAATAAACCCATCTTCTTTGCAATTTTGCCTATAATCAAAGTGGGGTTTTCCTAGTGCTCTGATATCTTTCCCATTGTAAGCTGATGTAAATGCATTCTGCAAATCATTTGCTCCAGTTATAGTACTAGGAAAAATATCTGATAAAAGCATCTGATAAAACTTTTGCCTTAACCCATCGGGATTTGCATTATCAATACATCCACTCAATCCTCAAGATCAGTGAATTGTCTTAATCTTGTCCCAAACCCATCTATTAAATAATAATGAGAGTAGGCCGAGTACTAGGCAAAGTGTTGAGCCGCTTGACGGAAACCGCCCGACTTGAAACCTGATAACAGGCAGCCCTCCCCAACCTGGAGAATAGCAATAACATTAGAACGTGTTCTCTGAATGTGTAAATACAACTCTTTCAACCAACCGTTTAACCTCCCCAGCCGTTAGAACGTTCGCCTGCGTCGATAAACCTTGTACAGGTGTGAGAGTTCTTTTTCGATTGCAGCTAAATATTTGAGGAATCGGCATATTTAAGAGATATAGTACCAACGTAATTTACTTAATGATACTGGCTGTGAATCCTTCGTTAATGTAATACTGCCGGCTCTTTAATCGTTGTATCGATCCAATAAATGCCGACGCAGTAGAATAGACGATATTGTACATATTTAGTACAATCGTTCTCCTACTAGTTATCCTGTTGTCTAGGAGCGTTCTCTTGTACTTACATCGTAGTGCCCTGTTATCAATAGTGTTAATCTTAAGCCATCAATATGCGAAGTGAACAACGATAAACTTTTTCTTACTGCCTCAAGTTTCTGTTTGTCAGAGATACGATGTGGTCACGTGTGACGACAAGTCACGAGTTGTCGTCAGATCTGTTCCACGTCAAAAAATCAACACATCTTATTTATTGCGCCAAACAACTTGGGTATAGTATAAAACATTTATCCTGCTAGATTTA